TTTCTGAACTGTTGGGGAAAAGAACTAAGGCCTGGTACAGGATATCTGACAAACTATCACTGTTTATCGCCACCAACACCACCTGTTGTGAATTTTAAACTTGGAAGGTATCATTTGCTTGTTTGCTTTCCTGGGAAGGGTGGGTGCTGGAAAAGCCATCCGGCCTGCTGACAGGTGCCAGGCAGGAGCTTTATCACTGACCTGTAAGCAACTCCTTCCCTCCTTCATTGTTTACTGTTTGATTTACATGTCTACATTCATCCTCTCCCTTAATTCTTTCCTCACTCATTTATTTACTGGTTTAAAGAGACTGCCCATGTTGCCCTCGCTAACTTCACACTCAGCATCACGAGCACCCCACCTCAGTCTGCTGAGTGAGTAGCTGGGCAAACAGCCCTCTTAGGATCTTGGAGGTGGGCAGCACTGAATTGCCCACAGAAACACGGGGTACTGAATGCTCCTCTGTTCTCTCCTGGAAATCGTGTTGGCTCTCCAATCCCCTATGAGAAGAGTATGACCGTGATGAGAGAAGGCATGACATTCCCATGCATGTGGGGTGGGGGAATTTTAAATTTTGTGCTAGAGGATGGGAAGCCCTAGGGCAGGCACACGCATCCTGGTGTGCAACTAAATGACTCCACAGAAAGAAAGGAGAGAATGGAATCCCAGTAATTCCCTCCTCAGAGCAGCCTTCTGCTTCCTCCGCTGCACCTTCTCTCTGAAATAAGAAATAAGTATAATAAATAAGAACAATAAACAAAGAAAAAACTTCAAAAACCAAAATCATAAAACATGGACTGATGCTTCTGTAGACACCAGGTAGGTCAGCTGAGTAAATTCTGCAAATTCTCCATGATCAGAGAGAAACTCACCCTCTGCCCCGTCTGTCCCATCCCAGCTGAAACAATGGCCCCTGCTGAGATCATTCTGATTCCCCAGAGTGGACCCAGCCCGGCCGAGAGGCCCTGGACGGAGAGCGCTGCTGTGTGGGCCGCTGCCGTGCACTTCTGCCTCTGTCCTGCAGAGCGCAGCAGAGGCTCTGCCGACCTGGCTCAGTCCTCTGCTGCCGCCTCTCACCCCGTCCCTGTCGCTCATCTGTCCCCTGCCAGAGGAACCGAGGTGAACCTGCAGAAGAACATTTTTGTTACCCTAACTGTGTTTTAATGTATTGAAATCAATCATGGTTGCTACTTTTAGTAGATTGATCTTGGGACCCATATTTTGTTTAATGCAGTTTTTGAGATTTCCTATCATTTCATTTACATTTACTACGTAAATAAAATACAGTTAATAGCAAATATTCAGATTTTCCTTCCAACAGCACACAATGCAGTCACTTTTCTCACCTCAGTGCCGGGCAATCTGTGCATCACACCGTCCAAAGAGGGGGACAGATGGGCCTCCCCGTGCACGCCTGTGTCTTTGAAGGCTCTACAGTTTTCTCTTAAAGCGTCTTGTTTTCTGGAAGGACACACAGTGGAGCAGTCATCTGCTCTTTTCCTCTCAGAAATTATGTTGAACTTCATTAGTTATTCAGCTGCTACCTCTGTTAGGCTCACCCCAGTTCTCTATAAATTTACAAGGTAGACCACAACCAGAGTACAATTTGTAGTCTTTAAAGGTTCAGTTTATTTATTTAGGAATTTTTAGGAACAACGTATTTATAGAAAACAAGTATCAGTGATCCAAAGGAGTGGCTATATAAATTATTTATGGAGAGAATGATAGGATTCCACATTTGCATACCAGAATCCATTTCTCCCCTGTATTAGACACCTGTTTGCCTGCTGGGCAAAATACCAGGCACTCAGTGTCAGGAGAACCCTCATAAGAGAAAAGCTCCAATTTGACTGGAGTTCAAAGGCTTCAGCCCATTTTATGCTGACTTCAAGGCAGGAAGCGATATTTCTATTAAAAGACCCTACATAATGAGGAAACAAATTTTTCCTTACATATAAGCAAACTGCACATGTAATCCTCATTATTCCTATTTAATATAAAACAATTGGAAATAGAAAATAAAATCACGAATGAAAATATCTCATGTTTTACAAAGTTGAGATAATTTTTCAGGTCAAGAGGATAAACTAGGGGAGAATATGAGATCACTGTACACTTAGAAATTAATGAGTTAATTAATTCTGGAATCACAGCCAGGTTGTCTTCAAATATATTTAAATTTATAAATACTCCCTCAGGTAAAGAAAAATTAGTGTAAAATTAAAAAGGAATTCATATATAAGCCACAATTTTGTCCTTTTTCTATTAATTGATATGTAATTGTATATATTTGTGGTATCAGGTGCTCTTTGAAAACATCTATATATATTGCAATGTCCAAACTAGAATAATTAGCATACCTGCTACACAAAATGTGTGTAATTTTATTGTGTTCAGAATATTTCAAAAATCCTCATTTCTAGGATACTGAAACATACAATTCATATTTAATATAAACCAAATGGAGAGAATTGAAGACACACTATTAACTGAAATACACCAGGCTCGTAATGAGAAAGTTTTCCTTTTTGTTTTGCTTCTGCTGTGCAGTTGCTGTCATGGCTGCCGCTGTTTTGAAGTACAGTTCCAGCCCTCCAAGCTCACTGGCAGGGCCCGGAGCCCTGACAGCCCAGGACTGAGCTCCTGCTCGGGACGGTGCCTCCTCAGGGAAAGGGCGTCCGCAGGGAAACCCAGTTCTGCAGCTCTCAGTGTGCAGTTGCCCCTGCTCACAGAGAAGCTCACATTGCACGTGCAATTTCCCATCAAGAAAAAACACAATTAAGAAAAAACAAGGAATAACTTACAATAGCCAGAGCCAGAGACACCTCACCCACCCACCACACAGGGTATCCTTCGTTGATGCCCCCAAGCCTCAAGGAGCTCCGCTTACACCACTCACAGAGGGCGCCTACAGAGATAGTGGTGTAGTGAACTGACAACTGGTGGGCAATTTATAACCCCCAGCTGAACTGAATAAGAGTGGTGCTGGGTGTGGAAGACCCACCTGGGGACTGTCGCCAGCAGCATAAGAGGTAGACCTGGAGAGGAAGAAGTTAGTCTGTTGGGAGTAGAGAAAGGCTGTTGGGAGCCGGTGGAAGCTGTAAGGAGCTGTTAGTTCTGTTGGAGGAGCTCCTCATGCTGGCTTTCCTGATGAACTTGGCTGTTTTCATCCTCCTAGGAGCTTGGGACCTCGTTGGCACTGAGAATAGCTTGGGTTCACTTTGGGGGAGCTCTGGTCCTCACCTTGAGCATCACTTCCTGGCTCCGGAGGAGAAGATGGTGCACTGCCGGTCTCCTGGAAAAGCTTGCTGCGCTGGCTTCCCTCATGGGAACTTGACCACCTTGATAATTGGAGGAGCTCGGGACCTCATTGTTGCTGAGGATGGCTGAGTACCTTTCGCAGGAGTTCTGGTTTTTCTGAGCGTCACTTTCTGGCTCCAGTGCACATCCCTCAGCCTCCCCCATGATATCTTACATAATTTTTGAAGATTGACAAAGCTAGGAAATACACTGACCAAATACAATTAACTAGACACAAATCACAAGCAAATTATACAGCTCCATTTCATCCCTCCCTCCCTTTGTGATGTAAAATGAAGGTGGAGAGTTCACAAGTCAGAGAGAAACTCTTGCTGGTCTTGGAGGAAAAGGATGTCACTATGAGAACAGCCATGGACAGGGAATGCTACGTGGCCTCTAGTTACCAGATTGGAACAGGTTGGCATCTGGCTGTAGGAGTTTAGAAAAAAGATCACTTGACCCAAATCAGATCTGAGTCTCAACCAACACTTTTATTTCACTTCTGTGAATTCCTGGGCCAAGGCACTATCCACACCATACACAGATTTCCGTCTTATGTGATTATGAGATGATACATGCAGTTTTCAAGCAACTAAATTTACGGTGTTTTATACTACAAAATAAATTACCACAGCAGGATTTTTATGGAGGCCTTTTTAGATGACCAACGTTTATGTCCTCTCAAGCCCAGTCCGTACAGTCCTCTCAAGTCCGTACAGTCCACAGCATTGAGTACTTTCTTTTGTGTGTGTGTGTGTGTGTGTGTGTACTTTCTTGCATGGTTGATATTCTTCCCAGTTAACCTAGTACGAATGTATCTAAATTCCTCTCAGTTACGTCCTAAAACCAAGTCCTGCTGGGTTCCTTTGCACTAACATACCACATTCTTGGTTATTTTCCCTTTGTAATGGCTCCAGTGTATCATGTGTGTGATAGTCCTTGTTCTATGGGACCCCGCCACTGGCTGTGCTGCCCAGCACCCTGTCACCACCCACACCAGTGCTCCTTCCTTCTCCTGCCTCAAGAGGCAGCATCACCTAGGGCCTTTTCTCTGTAGATGTTTCCGTGAGTGAGTCAGACATGTAGACCTTGGGATTTAAGGTTAAGCTTCCTCAAGTTCATTTCTGGGAACCTTGTGAAGAGTTACATTTTCCCGACAACTTCAACTTGAGAGGCAAAGTCAATTTACAATCACAGCACACCGGTAGATTTCCAAAGCAACTCTCACCCATGTGCTTTTTAACTTCTTCCATATGCTCAAGTAGGTGAATAGCTAAGAGTTCAAAGCACATTGTGTAGCTGAGTGTAGTGGCAAACACCTATAATCCCAGCACTCTAGAAGGCTGAGACTAAAGGATCACAAGTTTGAGCCCCGCCTCATCACCTTAGTGCAATTCTGTCTTACAATGTAAAAAAAAAAAAAAAAAAAA